TGCATTTAAAATGAATTTATTATTAGTATTTAATATTAATTTAATTTAACATTATAATTTATAATAATAATGAATTATTAATGCAATATTGAAATTTTTATAAATTTTAAATTTAAATTATTAATAATCATTATAATAAGAAATTATTCTATTAATGATTAATAATAATTTTAATATAACTGTATTTCAATTATAATGCAAATAATTCTCATAATAAGTACTGACTGGTATAGTAAATTACTAATATTATGAAACAAAATTTATTATTAATTAACTATATTAAATAATTACAAGTAAATATACATACATATTAAATTAATATATTATAAATATACATTAAATAAATATATTAAATAATGTTAAAAGAATGGTCCGAATGTTTTGATTTATTTACCTACTTTTGCTGTATAATTAATTCAATAATTATACCAATTTGAAAAATGAGAACTTTTGTTAAGTTAAAAGAACAATTTTTATAATAGAATAATGTATTCTGAAATGTAAAAAATAAATTTGAAAGATATTAATATGTATATATAAATTTTCATGAGACTTTACCAAAATTAGAAAGATGTACCAAAATTTTTATAGGTTATGTGTTCACACATTTCAGAAATAGTCAAGAATTTCAGAAATGGTCACAGCTTCGAAAATGGTGGGAGTAAAGTGGGAGGAGCTTGGAAAGTATTTGGTTAGGAATGGTGAGAATCGTTCGAAAACGTCAGAAGTGGTGAGACTGTTCAGGAATGTTCAGAAATTCTGACCATTCATGACGATTCCTGATTTTATTTTTAGTAGGGTATCAGAAAAATGCCAAATTTGGAATTTCCAAAACGTGCCTTTTTCATGAGAAAAAGGATATAACGAATTTTGCAGACAGATGTAATTTTATTGCTCTACCTAAAAAAGGTCATCTTAAGAAATTGGTTCGCATATTCTTATGACACCTTCTTTACCTACGGTTTACAACTCTATTGGATTTCTAGAAAACGTTGTTTTTTTAGTTGACAAGAAATTCTATTTCCTTATTACTGAAAATGTGTTTTTGAGTCTTAGACTAAGTTTTATGATTTTATTAGAAGAACACATTGCTTGGAAATCCCTAAGGCTATTTCTTAATTCTTCTTTTCATTCGTATTTTCAGCATAAAAGAATGTTTTTTGAACATATTCTTACTTAAAGGTATATTTGTAAAAATACGATGCTAAGTTCAATTCAATCTCAAGGCTTTTAATCAAAATATAATTAATATTATATTTTGCCGCGACATTTTAAACGCATCTCGATTAATCGAGAAATACTCGAGCGAGATAATAGTCGCTCGTCACAATTCGACGTTTTGTCCATTCGATTACTTGGCATTCGACTATTTGATCATTCGACGACTTGGCGATTAGGGGATATGCATGCGTCTCCTCGACTCATTCGAATAAGACCGACTTGATCAAGCAAAGCTTAAGTCCTTGCTTAAGTCGGGACTATGAATACCGCCCTAAGATGATCTTATTTGACATTGCCGGTGAACTTATTTGAACGAATTGAGGTTATGATTTTAAGTCAACGTTTTAAATGACTTAAGCAATTACTTATTGTCTTTTTATAAATATTTATAATAAAAATGAAAAGATTTTTTGTTAAAAACAATTTAATAATAATTAAAATTTAATAATTTAGAAAAAAGGTTCAAAATTTATAAATTATATTTCATTTACTTGTTCGAAGATATAACTTATGTAGTACCGCAACTTGTTGTCGGATGACGCCACTGTTCAGAGATAGAAAGAGAAAAACTCACTCCCTCTCTCTCTCCTTTGTCTATCTCTTACTACCTACTCTCTACCTTTCATTCGTTTCTTGGCGTTGGTGACAGCCACATCACGTATTCAACGAAATTTTAAGTGTGAAGTGTGGGAAGAAGATGGAAAAATTGGAAGTGAAAAAGGAAGTGGAACGTTTATAGGATTTTGAAGAAGGTCCATGCTTTTCAGCATGAGAAGAAAAAGTCTCCGATTAATGAGGAAGTAAGCTCAAATATGTACGAATGTATGCACGGGTAAGTTATTTACTGACACATTCAGGCCTTGCTTTTCCCAACATGGCTGAGCTTCAATCCCGAATTGTTGCCAATAGCCGAGAGGGATTTCTGATCCTCAATCGTGAGTTGAGGACGGAAAATTATAAAAAGCAAATAACGACAAATGTTTCGTTAAATCTAAAAGTTACTTCCATGGATTCTTCAGACACATTATGAAGAAAAAGTCTTAAATTGTCTCAGAGGATAATGATTTTCAACATAAAAATGAATATATTTAATAATCAGCTTAGCCAAAGACATTTAAGAAGGAAGGAGAATACATTTAATATACAAAAAAAAAAAAAACAAAACAAAACAAAAATAACAAAAAAAAAACAAAACAAAAAACAAAAAGTTTTTGACAAGAAAGTATAAGAAGAAAAATATAAATTCAATTATAAAAAAGAAATTGCTATCAATCCTTCAGCGATTGATATTAATGTGAAATTTTTTGTATATTTTTATCAGAAATATTTGTGATAAAATTAAATATTTCTTAACTTAAATCAAAATTAAAAATCCTAATAAATTATTAGGACATGTCTGGCTCAGCATTAATAGCTGTATCATTGACATTAAAATTATTCTCAAGAAATCGTTAACAAAAACTGTATTCTGAAAAATTTCAGTCTATCAAAAAATAAATAAAAATTCTCAACTGTTTTACTCTATAACCAAAGCAAGGAAATCTTTCATTTTTGGTAAATATGGTATAAAGATAATAAAATTAATAAAGACCTTAAATAATGCTTATGTTTGGATACAATCTGAAAGCCTTGTCCGATTAATGTAGGACCATGAAGGAAGTTTGAAAGTTTAAAACATAAATACTATACAAGTATCAGAAACAATACACTAAAAAAAAAATAAATAAATAAATAAATAAATCTTTTTTACAGGAAAATTAAATAGGATCATTTATTATAGCTAATGATACAATAAGGTTTAAGTACTTTCTAATAAGTTCTTTTTTACAAAAATAAGCAACGTATGAAGTATTTTTATTTTTGTATGAGTAATAATAATATAATATCTAATAATATCTTTCGATATTATTAGCATTTAGCAGATATCGAGCAGCCTTATAATAGAACCAGTAATTTTATTTAAGAAATTTTTTAGATTATAACCACTAAAAAAAAAAAAAAAAAAAAAAAGCTATTTTACAGGATTTAGGGAAAGTAAATCCTGTCATCAAAATACTAGAGGAGTGGAGATCAGTTGAACCTAATGTTAGCTCTAGGTTCGACATTAAAGTCCACGCAATAGGATAGATAATAACAGATTGATTAAAATGTCCAGACCTACAGAAGTTCAGCTTTAGGTCTTTCTTTCCTTGAAAAAGTGACTCCTTGTAAAGCCAAAACCTTGTTATATTATCCGAAATCTAGCAAAAGAATATTAAGGAAAATACATAAAATACTGTTTAAAGATGGTCATGAAAGAAGTAAGTTTTGATAAAAACTTTGGCGTTATAATTCCAAAGAACTTGCTTCAACTTACAAGGCCTTATCAAAGATACTAAATATTAATAACATTAAAAAGATCGGTAGTTAGTCGAAATACTAAATAATTTTTCTTTTGCTTCCTCATAAGAATAGTTTTATTTTCAGTATTATAACTATCTTTAAAATAAAATAAATAAATAAAAAAAAAAAAAATTAATAAATAAATAAATAAAAATAATATTAAATAATAGGTAATGATTTGGTGGAATGGTTCATCAGTATATAAGTTTTCATCGCAAAAGCGTTTCAGGTATATGCTCAAAATGAAAGTTAAATGTTATCATTAACAAAACACTATGTACATCTTACAGAATGATTCATTCTACTCTAGACATCTACATAAGTTATATCTTCGAACAAGTAAATGAAATATAATTTATGATTAAACGAACTTACAAGTGAAGTTCGATCATAATTATATGAATAACTTGTTCGAAGATATATACTCCCACCCTTTTTTATTTTATATAATAGTAACAATATACATATAAGTTACAAATATTTGGAAATCTAAAACTAACCCTCCCCTAAAATCAAAATGGATAAATAAGAACAATTTAATAATTTAATAAACTAAATAAATAAAAATAAATCAATAAGCAAAATAAATAACACATATTTATATTATGATTGTATATAGTATTACAATACATATATTGTATAAATATATAGATATATCTATATATGTAATAGTGATGCATAACGATAAAAATCGCGAGAAAATTAATGCTAAGAGACAGCAGTTCGCTTTTGTTATGCCAAATTATCGCTGAGCTTCATATCGTTGAAGCGATAATATCGTATTGTTTGAGCTTGATCGAGACTTTCATTTTTTAAATATTTATATAAATCACAGGTTATAAGAACATAGAAAATTTTAAACACTTTTTATAACAAGATTATAAAGAGAATAATAAAAATTTAAAAATAAACAAAACAAATATAATTTATAAAGAATGTTATTATCTTTTTATATATTTCATTTAGGTACTATAACAGTATTTTTTAAATACAATCGATTTTATAGTTTTTTTCTTTGAAAGTTAAACTGAACTTAGTAAAATTGAAAAATACATAATAATAAAAAAAAATTATTAGTTTAATAATTAATTTAATTTCGTAATTACCTTTAATCACAGTACTTTTGTACAAAAAGACATTTTTCTTTGATTTTGTAGGACGTTTTTATTATAAAATAAATATTTAAAAATTATAAATATAAAATTAATGTTTGTAAAGTAAATATTATTGTACATATGATTTATATTTATATTTCTATAAAATAACCTATCAAAGTTTTAAAGATTTATTAACCTGATAAAAATTTAATACAAACAATTCAATTCAACTTTATTTTAAAGTTTTCAGATAAATTAAATACAATGTTTTATAGATTTATATAATAAATTGAAATAATGCAGTGCGTACATTTTGTACTAAGTGAAATGCGTAGAAAGTGTTTAACTTAAATTATTTAATTAATCTTAATTGAAATATGAATTATAAATTAAACCAAGCGAATTGAAAATTTTACATTGAAGACTGAATCTTAGGTGTCAAAGAGCAAGAAACCCATGAATTAAGAGCCATCAAAGAACGTATTGACTCATTATTTAGCTTGTTTCTATGTTTCCTAATAACCAATGAACTTCTTGAGAATAAGCGTTCAACAGAAACAGATGATGCAGGAATTGCTAAGTAGTCTCGAGCCATTCAAGATAGATTTGGAAATTCTTTTGCGTGTTCCTTCCACCATTGTAAAATATTTACTGATTTTCCAGCTCTTTCTTCATTCACATACGAGTTAATTTCATAATCCCAATTAGTGTTTTGATTGGTGGTGGTATTGGAGTTGAAACTTGTTGTACCAGCATCATCTTTGTAGAGAGAAAACAAATCGAGATCTTCATCTTGACCAGCATCACGTGGCAAATCTTCAGTAGAATTTTCAACAATTTCAAGTTCCTATATATTTCATAATTTATTTATATTTTTATTATTTATTATTATTATAATTGCTTTATTTATTTTATTTTTTTTTATTTATTTATTATTTTTAATTCCAGGTGTCTACTATTTTCGTTCAACAAAATTCTCGATTTTTTCCAGACTTTTTTTCTCGTCAAATTTAAATCTATTTGATTTCGAATCTAATTATTATTTATGAAAATTATTAAATGTTTAAGTAGAATTTTGTTAAAATGTTGGAAAAAAATTTAATTGTGGAAAACCATTTAATTATTTATAAAGATAATTAAAATCTTGAGGAGAATTTAAAAAAAAAATTAAACATAATTGAATTTCTGCGAAGAATTTTATGGAAATTCATGAAACTAATTGAATTCTTGTAAAGAATGTTTTTAAAAAATAATATTCAATAGAATTTAGTAAATCTGAAGAATTTTGCTATTTATGGAAATAATTGAATTCTTGAGAAGAATTTTTTTACAGTATATAAAAATAATTAAATTTCTTTCGACGAATTTTAATAAAATTTAAAAAAATTATTACATTTTTCGATGAGTTCGATTAATATTGAATTAAAAATAATTGAAATTCTGCAAAGAATTGTACTATTTATGAAGATAATTACTGTGACTAACTTCCCTTGATTATTTTTGAAAAATTTATGCAAAATTCTTCAAAAGAATTTAATTATTTTTAATATAATAGAAAAAAAATTTTATATGTTTCAAAAATTTCCAATTATTTGTTTATAAAAATTTAATTGTCTTCAACAATAAAATAAAAAATTTTCAAAAAACTTTTTTCAGAATTTTCAAAAAAATTTAGCGAAAAAATAATTTCTTTTTAAAAGTGTTCAATATGTATCTTTTTTTAAATTAACTAATAAAAATTTTAATTATAAATTTTCACACTAAAAAACATAAATACATTAAAAAGTGACTCTTCATAAAATTAAATTATTTATCAATCATTAAATTAAAATACTTTAAAAATTTGATTTGTTAAAAAGTTTTTAACAAATTGAATTATTTTTTGTTAAATTCCACAAAATTTCTATTAATTCGATAATTTTTTAAAAATTTATTTACATATTTGAATCAGTGACTGATTTTTTATTATCAAATTAAAATAAAAATAAAAAAATTCAAATAATAAAACAATTTTTAATTTGGTGAAAAAATTCCTGGTTTGGCATAATATTCCTGGATTATTAACGGTTTTTCTGGTCAAATTAATTCCTGGTTATTTCCCAGTTAGTAGACACCCTGCATAATTTATCAGTAACGGCTCCAAAATTAAATTTTCACATTTATGAGAGAAAATATATATTTTATAAAAAATAAAACATAAATTGTTATAATTTTCTTAAATAGAATTAATGTTAATTTTTAATTAATTATTTTTTTAATAATCTTTCCAAATATAATCTTATGAGGATTCGCTGCTGTAATTTTTTAAGACCTAAATAAGTTATTTATTGAATAAAAAAATTTAATGCATTCCTAATCCGCACTATTTTATTAATAAATTTAGCATGTACCTTTTGATTGGGTTGTTTGTAGTACTGCGATTTAAAGATAGTCTTGAAAGTTTTTAAAGATGATTGTTTCATCGCGCGACCCCAGTCAGTCATATCGAATGTTTCCAATTTAAATCGAGGATCTAAAAAAAGGACGGCGCAGTAGACCCAATTGCTTCGCGAATAATGTTTATCCATTTTTGCCAATCCAGCTTGCAAAGCTCGCAGAATTTTATCTTCAACTTGGTTTCTCCTTTGGTTCATCAATGACTCGATCGATTTTTCAATTTTATCTAAAATCATGTTAAAACCCACAATAACTAAATTTAGAGTAGGATATTTATCCCCACAAAACGCATTTGATAACGTTTTGAAATGACGTAAATGAGAAAAAATTTCTCGTAAAAGAATCCACTCGCAATTTGAAATGGTTAATTTGTTTAGAAATTTGTTATTTTTACATAACAAATCTATTGCGTTTTGCATTTGGAGGCCTAAATTAATCATATCACACGTCGAGTTCCACCGAGTAGAAACATCGATCTTTGGGGATAGCATTTTGATGTCACAAATATTGCAGCAGCTCTGCAATTTATTTGTCCACTGCTCAGATTTTTTCAAGAGCTTAAAAAGCTTTCTCAATTTAGCTAATGGTGACTGGATGGAATCGTTTTCGTCTTCGTCTGAAATTTCATCAGAATTTTCTTGTACTTCAATGTCATCTGAATCATTCTGATCATCATCATCATCATCATCATCATCATCATCATCATCATCATCATCATCATCATCATCATCATCATCATCATCATCATCATCATCATCATCATCATCATCATCATCATCATCATTATATTCTCCTTCATTTTCTTCATCGCAAATGTGATCTAAACTTAACTCTTTTAACATTGCCTGTACTGCAATGTTCAAAATGTGACAGTAGCAACGAAAGTGTTGATTAACATGATCAAAACTCATTAAATATGACAACTCGATCATAAATCTTAAATTTACGGAAGCATTGTCTACTGTTATTCCTAGAACTTTTTCTGCAATTTTGAAATTGTTGACCGTATCAAAAAAGACTTTGGCTATATCTTTACCAGCATGCTGACCATGGGTAGGAGCGAAATCAATTACTAGAGTCTGTAATTCCCAATCATTGTCAATGTAATGAGCAGTTATTCCCGTATATCCTCGCTGAGAAATCGAAAACCACCCATCCGTAGCAAATGATATTTTGGAATCATTCTCTTGTAAAATATTCATTACAACATTTTTCATTTGCAAATAGCGATTCAGGACCATTGATGTCAACTTATTTCGTAGTGGTACCACAGCCAGAGGATTTAAATACTTGAATAAATTTTGAGTACTTGAATCGTCGAAAAAATTAAAGGGCAGATATTTCATCGCCACCCAATCTACTATTTGATTCTCAAATATCCCTTGATCAAATGCCTGTAAACGTGAGAAAAGAAACTACAAAAGTAAATCGATCCCATTATGAAGAAAGGTTTTCGAAAGATATCCAGAAAACACTTCGGACATTTTCCGGAAGTCGTTTCCGAATTTTTTCCGGAAAACTTTCCACATGAGAAGTAACCCTTAAATGAATGATTTAAAGAACATACATTAATAGCAAAAATAATTATTATAATTCAAATAAAAATCATATATAAAGAATGGATGGAATGCGTGCATCTTAATTCAAAGAACATACACTAATAACAAAAATAATTATTGTAATAAAAATCTAGTGCTCTACAATAAGGTTTAAATGAATTTTTTTTAAGAACACAAGAATGGATGGAGTACAATAATTCAAGAAACATAAATTAATAACAGGAATAATTATTATAATTCAGATAAAAATAAAGTTTGAATGAAAATTTTTTTTTAAATGCATAGAATACATACATAAACAAGTAATAACATCTACTCTACAATATCAATGTAATAATAGTTTTAGCATGTTTCGTTTCTCTCCCATGCTCAATCTAAGGGGGTAGGTGTTACGTCCGTAACTTCTTGTTAATATACCTAATTTAACTTCGATACTTATGAATGTATTTCCTATTTTTTATATTGTATTTTTCTTATATGTTATATTATTATTCTATGTATTTCATACCATTGCATTATAATTAGCATATTTTATATATCTCATTTGTATCTAAACAATTTGCAAGTATAATGAATTCAAGAAAGATGAGTAATATTTTAAATCATGTAAAAAGAATAACGATAGTGCATCAGTTAAACGACCTTCAAATAATCTTCGCCACATGAAGAAAAACAAACAAGGCAACGAGCGACTCGCCCCTCAACCCAACTAAAAAACAGAAGAAGAGTCAACAGTCGCCCCGTATAGCAGCAGCAATGCCGTCGCCCAACACCCCCACTTAAAATCCGACCAATATCGACACGTGCGACAGAAGAAGAGTCAACAGTCGCCCCGTATAGCAGCAGCAATGCCGTCGCCCAACACCCCCACTTAAAATCCGACCAATATCGACACGTGCGACAGAAGAAGAGTCAACAGTCGCCCCGTCTAGCAGCAGCAATGCCGTCGCCCAACACCCCCACTTAATCTGACCAATATCGACACGTGCAACTTAAATTCCACACTTGAATGATTCCAAAGCATTACATTAATGAAGACAGTTTCGTATAAAAGGGTTACAATTTCTGCAGATAACAGAGAGTAACTATTTAGAAATCAACCTGAACACATCGTTCAGAACAAGAGACTAGAGAGTAATTTTTTGGGAATCAACCTGTACACATCGCTCAGTCATTATCAAATTGTCTACAAGTAAACATCGCATAGTTTACAAGTGAATTAAAAGTACATCTTTGAAAGTGAAACGTATAACCCCAAGTATTATTTTGAACGTACATTATTAAAAGTGAACTATTTCCCCAAGTATTAAATAAGAAGTGAACTTTAAACAACCTCTTATTATAAATTTGCAAAGTATAAATTTTAAACAATTTCCAAAAATATTAAATTGGAAATAATCTCAACTATCAACGAAGACCTAATATTGAAACAACACATTCCAAATTTCGAACCATCGAAATTTGCTCAAGAGGCGACAACCGTCTGGAAGGAAGCAGATATTTTAACAATACAATACACTATCTCATTAGTGTAAACAAGAGGTCTAATACCCAACCACTAAGGACAACAAACAAAAGGCCCCTTTTCGTCTACCGCTCATCACCATTGAGATCGGACAACAGATTATCATCACACCACCAGTAATCGTTATTCTTTAAGTAAGATTCATAATTTTTGTACTCATTGTAATTTTGTCAACTCTTTTCTTTCTTGTTGGTTTTTAAATAAATTATTCTCTCACATTTAGTAGGCTCATTGACTTATCCTCATCCCAAATTGGATTCATTTATGAAACCAATTTAAAACGAGGAACGTTAGGTATATTTAAAAAGGTTTCTCGTTTTGACGTAACAGAAGCCCTTATAAATTTTGGTGCATCGGCCCGGGAAAATTATAAAGTCGATCAGCCATATAATTTTGTCAAATTTTTAATAACATTCGAAAATTTTAATGAATATAATTTTTAAATTAATGAAATAATTCAATGAAAATAAATAAATCAATGAGTATACCAATTGTTAAAAAAAGGGGAAATTTTTTTTTTTTTTTTGTAACAAATAATAATAACAAATAATATTAACATACAATAATTGAAATTAATCAGTAACATTTAAAAAAAAGAGATTTTTTTGCTAATTGATAACATTATACAAGATTTAAGTCGCAAGGTGCATTCATAAGTATACATCTTATATTGGTATTGATGAATAGAGGTTCGAGTCCTCTTAACTTATAAATTTTTCTTTAATGTGCATGGTGCATTTATTAATTCAATTCTGTATTAATAAATAGAGGTTCGAGTCCTCTCAACTTATAATTTTTAAAGTTGCAAGGTGCATTCATCAAATTAAATCCTTTGTTATATTACTGAATAGGGGTTCAAGTCCTCTAGACTTATGGAATTTTTTGTCTTGTATATGAATCATTTTTGACATATTAATTTATGCTAAAACAAAATTTGTTTTGTTCATTTAATTGTGATTTGTTATTATTATTACATGTTTAAAGTATTTTATTATACTGAAGCAAGATCAAAATATTTACTATAAAAGAAAAGTGTATTTTATATTCAAGAGACAAGATTGACAATTTTACAATTAACACGTACATAAATTCCGATACTATGTCTTCTTCGAATAAAAATACTACCGATTCCTCACACTTAACTCGTTTTCAAATAAAAAATAATCCAGAATTAGCATTAAATTCAGGAATTCCTAATTATAAAACAAAACCATTAACAAGCACACCCAGATATTCTAAAGAAAACCCTAATCCCTTAGAAATACAGAAACAATTTGACTCAGGCTATATTAATTCTCAACTTTTTGATACTTACGATAATTCTTTCGACAGTGACAGCAACGATAGCGAAAATACTATTACAGAAAAAGACTCAGTTGAACAAAATAAAAGCTTAAATAAATCTTTAACTGACGAAATTGAAACTAACGATAACTCTGAAAATAATTCGGTTGATAACACTACAAACATTATTAATTTTGAAGAAAAAATTGCTCTTCCAAATAATCAGCAAGTATCTTTACGTGACGCTTTAGAAGCAATACCAATGTTTGACAAAAAAAACATACCACTATCAACATTTATTGAAATTTGTTTAGAAGCAAAATCTATGCTTCCTAAGAAAGCACTAGTACAAACAAATTTAGTAAAATTAATTAGAAGTCGAATTTCAGGTGAAGCAAGAAGAATTATAATAGGAAATAATTTTAATACAGTAGAACAGTTAACAGAAAGGTTAAAACAAATTTACGCACCAGCAAAATCTGTATATCAGTTACAAAAAGAACTAGGAGCAGTATATATGTGGGAACAAAAAAATGTAATTTCTTACGGTGCAAGAATCGCAGAAGCAGCAGAAAGAATTTTAGACGCGCGTAGGATTAATAATCAAAATAGAGTAGATGAGGTATTTAAACTAATTTAGATAGGAAAAAGTGTTGATTGTTTTTCGCGAGGACTTAGACCAGAAATTGAATTAAGAATTGGAACAGTCGAGATATTTCAAGATATAGTTAATAAAGCAGTAGAAATAGAAAGAAAATTGTTATCACACCATGAACTTAGAAAAAGTGAACATAATACTGAGTGTAATTCTCATCCTAAAAATAACAATGTAATAACTTGTTTAGTTTGTGGAAAAAGGGTCATTTTGCAGTAAACTGTTTTCAACTTAATAAATTGATAGCACCAAGACGAGAAAACTCTTTTTATCCAGGGCCACGACAAATTTTTTCAAATCAAAATCAGAATCGATTCAACAATCAAAAACCAATGTTTAATAAATTTCAAAGTCAAAACTTTTACAAAAGTACAAGGAATAAAAGAAGAAAAAATAGAAGAAACTCAGGAAAATCAAGAAAATATAATGATATGTGTGCAAGAAAAAATTGAAAAATATATACATTGTGTAGCAAATGAAACTAAATACTATTTGAATTTGGAGATAAGAAAAGTCTCCCAACTATTGAATAAATATTTAAGGACAATGAATCCTACATGAATTTGGAGATAAGAAAAAGTCTCCCATATATTGAAAAAATAATTAATGAATGCTACATGAATTTTGAGATAAGAAAAGTCTCCCAACTATTGAAAAAATATTTAAGGACAATGAATCCTACATGAATTTGGAGATAAGAAAAAGTCTCCCACATATTAAAAAAATAATTAATGAATGCTACATGAATTTGGAGATAAGAAAAGTCTCCCAACTATTGAAAAAATATTTAAGGACAATGAATCCTACATGAATTTGGAGATAAGAAAAAGTCTCCCATATATTGAAAAAATAATTAATGAATGCTACACGAATTTTGAGATAAGAAAAGTCTCCCAACTATTGAAAAAATATCTAAGGACAATGAATCCTACATGAAATTGGAGATAAGAAAAAGTCTCCCATCTATTAAAGGAAATTATTATACAAGTAAAGAAACTTGTAATGTCATAACAAGAAATCAAAGGAAAATACAAGAAATGATAATCAAGAAAAGAAAATACAAGAAAAGAAAAATGAGGAAATAAAAGCACACAAAACAAAGAAATAAGGTAGACCGAAGAAATATAGCACACGTTTGAATACCTCCCAGTAAAAAGAAAAGTATTCAGAATAGAGAAAAAGTATTGGTGGAGACGTTCGGTGAATGCGTTTTCGCAACAAAACCGTATTGATGGGTTACGGTGAATACATTTTGCTTACCGTGAATACTTTTTCTTTAAACTCTCGATTTCAAGATTCCTAAGCAAAGTTGAGAATATTTATAAAGAGCGTAAGTGACCTGAAGTATAAAAATGACGATTGCGAGAAGAAAATAAGAAATTTTGAGAAAAAACGAAAAATTAAATGTGACAAACCTACAACGTATGATGATGAAAAGGAACTTTGACGATACCGACAGAAAC